GTAGATGTTTTTGAAATAGATGAGGATGTGTGTCTTACTATCTCATATTAGAAACGATAAGTAATGTCAAAGTTAATAAATATTTCTTTTTTTTTACAGAATGGCAGAGATTGACGAAAATGTCAAAAATGAAAAATCAAATACAGAAGAAAATGATATTGCAGGTAAAGTAATTTATTAATAAATAAATTATTGTATAGTCATAGACTTTCAGACATAATGCATTCCTTAAAATGTATAAAAATGCTGAACAATAGAGTTGTGTGTCATAAAGAAAATTCCATTCCTAGAAAGCCGAAAAGAAAAATTATAAAATCTTTTATTATGGTAGGAAAATTTTAGTTTTACTTTCATGGCAGTTATCCGTATAACACAGGAAAGTATTATAATCATGCCAAATTTCACCCTCTGACCAGATCAGATTTCAATGTTTTGAGACTTCTGAACCCAAAATAGTAAAAAGGGAAAAATTCTGTGAGAGGTGTTGGCATCTGTTTTGTTTAATAACTCAATATTGGATAAAGATTAAAAAATAAAATTTGGCATGGTAACTTCCTATATAAGGGCATTGATGCTATTAGCTTGCATTTTAATGATAAAAAGTCGAGGGGTCGTGTGTGATATCGCAAGTTGGATCAGACTTGAAGAAATTTCACTCATTATTGCCATTTACAATGTTTTAAAAAACTTATTCTACCTTCAAAATAAAGTCTTTTGCCTTTCTATAATAATTAATAATATGAAAGTTATTTTTTAATAAAATTTATTAACAGATTTTTATTTCTTGCTAATATGGCTTATTGTTTCTTAAACATAAATATTTTTCACTGCGAAAGTTATGTAACTCGTTGCTGAATTTTTACAGTAATTTGTACTATTCTGAAAGTATCAAAACTAGATTAAACATGAAACAGACAAAAAGTTAATTTTTTTACAAATTTGCTGAAACATAAATTCAAAATTTTTAACATTCTTGAAACCTTGTCATTATCAACTCAAAATTTTTGTTTATTGGTTGAAGTTAGGTGGCATAAATATTAAATTTAATAAATAATTTGGAATATTCTGGAAGTAAAGAATCCACCTGGAATGGGACTTGAACCCACAACTCCCACTTAGCATGTAGATGCATTGCCATTTACACTACTTGGACTTCCGTTTGATCTTCTCTTTCAGACATATTTAATTAAGATATAACCATCCTTGGTTACTTACGGCACCGAATGGGGAGCCTTCAGTGCTCACGTCCTATAATCACCTACTATGGCACTCAGTTGGCCATCACTTAAGTGATGGCTGACTAAGTGCCACAATAGGTGATTATAGGATGTGGGTGCTAAAGGCATCGCCAGGCACTGTAAGTAACGAAGGATGGTTGTATCTAAATTAAATATGTCTAGAAGAGAAGATTGGACAGTGGTTCAGATAGCATAACTGGCAATGCATCTGGACAGTAAGTGGGAATTGCAGGTTTGAGTCCTGCTCTGGGCCGATTCTTTTCTTCCAGAATATTCTAAAATATACAAATAATAACATCACAAAGCCCGAGTAGTATATAATAAATCACCAAACGATCGCCTAAATATCGGTCTATAATATGGCTAATTAAATGATTGGTATAAAGTAATTTGACACCAGAGGTAGACGTTAGGCGCCATCTCTTAAGTAAATTAATAATTATACTTAAATAAATAAATTATTAAATAAATTTAGAACCTTCTGGAATAAAAGAATTATAATTATTAATTTACTTAAGAGATGGCGCCTAACGTCTACCTCTGGTGTCAAATTACTTTATACCAATCATTTAATTAGCCATATTATAGACCGATATTTAGGCGATCGTTTGGTGATTTATTATATACTACTCGGGCTTTGTGATGTTATTATTTGTATATTTTAGAATATTCTGGAAGAAAAGAATCGGCCCAGAGCAGGACTCAAACCTGCAATTCCCACTTACTGTCCAGATGCATTGCCAGTTATGCTATCTGAACCACTGTCCAATCTTCTCTTCTAGACATATTTAATTTAGATACAACCATCCTTCGTTACTTACAGTGCCTGGCGATGCCTTTAGCACCCACATCCTATAATCACCTATTGTGGCACTTAGTCAGCCATCACTTAAGTGATGGCCAACTGAGTGCCATAGTAGGTGATTATAGGACGTGAGCACTGAAGGCTCCCCATTCGGTGCCGTAAGTAACCAAGGATGGTTATATCTTAATTAAATATGTCTGAAAGAGAAGATCAAACGGAAGTCCAAGTAGTGTAAATGGCAATGCATCTACATGCTAAGTGGGAGTTGTGGGTTCAAGTCCCATTCCAGGTGGATTCTTTACTTCCAGAATATTCCAAATTATTTATTAAATTTAATATTTATGCCACCTAACTTCAACCAATAAACAAAAATTTTGAGTTGATAATGACAAGGTTTCAAGAATGTTAAAAATTTTGAATTTATGTTTCAGCAAATTTGTAAAAAAATTAACTTTTTGTCTGTTTCATGTTTAATCTAGTTTTGATACTTTCAGAATAGTACAAATTACTGTAAAAATTCAGCAACGAGTTACATAACTTTCGCAGTGAAAAATATTTATGTTTAAGAAACAATAAGCCATATTAGCAAGAAATAAAAATCTGTTAATAAATTTTATTAAAAAATAACTTTCATATTATTAATTATTATAGAAAGGCAAAAGACTTTATTTTGAAGGTAGAATAAGTTTTTTAAAACATTGTAAATGGCAATAATGAGTGAAATTTCTTCAAGTCTGATCCAACTTGCGATATCACACACGACCCCTCGACTTTTTATCATTAAAATGCAAGCTAATAGCATCAATGCCCTTATATAGGAAGTTACCATGCCAAATTTTATTTTTTAATCTTTATCCAATATTGAGTTATTAAACAAAACAGATGCCAACACCTCTCACAGAATTTTTCCCTTTTTACTATTTTGGGTTCAGAAGTCTCAAAACATTGAAATCTGATCTGGTCAGAGGGTGAAATTTGGCATGATTATAATACTTTCCTGTGTTATACGGATAACTGCCATGAAAGTAAAACTAAAATTTTCCTACCATAATAAAAGATTTTATAATTTTTCTTTTCGGCTTTCTAGGAATGGAATTTTCTTTATGACACACAACTCTATTGTTCAGCATTTTTATACATTTTAAGGAATGCATTATGTCTGAAAGTCTATGACTATACAATAATTTATTTATTAATAAATTACTTTACCTGCAATATCATTTTCTTCTGTATTTGATTTTTCATTTTTGACATTTTCGTCAATCTCTGCCATTCTGTAAAAAACAGAAATATTTATTAACTTTGACATTACTTATTATTTCTAATTTGAGATAGTAAGACACACATCCTTATCTATCTCAAAAACATCTACTAACTGTCTATTTCATTAAGCAATTTTCATTTTAACAACTAAGTTGGTAAAGGTTCAAATATATGTTTATAGATTTTCAATGTACAATATGATGGTGGCTTCTAAAAGTAGCTGAAAACAATATTTTGTTCTATAAATCCTTTGCTGGATATTAAAGATTTGTTGTTATATTTAATAATGAACCTAGTACAGATTCAAAAATGAAACTGCAAACATAACAATAAATCAAAAATTAACTGTGTCATCAGAAGTATTATGGGATTAATTTCAGTTTTGGTTTTATTCCTCTTCCTGTTTTTAGAGAACTTTATCCAGATAATATCTTAATCTTTCAACAATGGACTAGTCGGGTATGGTTCTACCTCCAGTAATGGAGAATAAACGTGGGAAATTTTTAAAGTATTTTTCCATGCATTTTTTTTCATCACAGTTTCGGAAAAAGATTTTGTAAACAGTTATGTCTAGTAAAGAAAAGTCTTTTTTTATTGTTACATAATTCATTTTTTATGTGAATTTTTTTTGCAGTAGTTTTAGGCTAATTTTTGGTGATACCCCCAAAAGAATTTGATGACTATAGTTGTCCCTCACTACTGCCACATGATTGCCCTTGACGACTATAGTCGTCGCTCACTGCTGAGTGATTAAGTTTAAATATTCTCTATTTTAATCTGTGAATTAATGATACTTGTTTGCTATGAATATATACATGATGTTCAGTAGAAAAGCTTTCAGACTTATTTATGATTCTAGCAGACATAGAAGTTTGAAGCTGTGAGAGTATCAAATCCCAAAATTCTGACTTTTCAAGGTTAAAGTCAATTGTAACTTTAAAATTTCAACTGGTAACATGAATTGTGCAATGTATTGTTTCAGTGTAATTTCTGGTCTTCTCAATTTTAATCTGATTGCATCATCATATTTTGTATTAAAAATTCTTTAAAACAATGTAAAAACAAAATATTGATTACCATTTAAAATTATAACTGTTTTCATCTTTAAAGATCATAATACCAAAATAGCATAAGATTCTATTAATAAAGATCTATTAATACTCCCAAAGTTCCAAATTTCTATATTTGCCAGGATCAGATATATGAGTTATGCGAGATGGCCTTTCTGGGATGTAATTAAAGCACTCCCTCCTAATTAACACTGTCTAGAGATATTTAACAGTCCAAATGCAATCAAATTTGGTGACATTTTAAGATATGCATAAGATATTTGAATAAAAAACAAGTACTAAAACTCATCACTATGGTGATTTTATTTGTTGCAAGCAATAAACATTTTATTTGTACAAGACACTTATGCTATAGAGACCTTATTAATACTGATCAATGTGGTTTTGATTCCAAAGATATAAAGCCTGAAGGTGATGAATGGCATTCAATTACCAACTGTAACTGATTTGAAGAGATGTTTCTCACATGTAGTGTGATCCTGTCTTTCAAAGCTGCCAAATTTGTAATGTGTTCTTCATAAACCACACTTTTTAAGAGTTCCTGAAAAATAAACTGCCTTCTTTTGCTTGCAGCCAAAAGCCATAAGCATCATAGTAATGAGTTTTATTGCTACCTTTTTTACAGAAAGGTCATCTGTACGCTCTGAAATGTCATCATACAAATTTAGTTCCATTTGGACTGCTGAATATCTGTCTAGACTATTTTGAATAGGGATATTTTCATTACGATCATCTAGTATTTAATTATCATTAGTAAATCATATAAAATTCAACCAACATTAATTATTATAGTCACATTTTTATATTTTATTTTATTTAGGAATTCTCTAGATTAAAGCTTTTTAAACTTCTCCATTTGCAATCCACTTTTACCTGAGAAAATTTTAAAAATAGGTATACAAATAAAATCATTTAATGACAATAATCATAAAATAATTCTTTGATATACATATTACTTCACCATTTATTATCTTTTATTAAAGATAAAAACAGATTTGCATACTAATGAAATAGATGTGTTTGTTTACTTTTACATAAAGAACTGAATCTTGGCTGAATATTTGATATCGTAAAATGCAGGGCATCTTTAATGTTTCCAGAGTTGACTGACATTTTGATTTTATAATCGTCAATGCTGAAAATACCACTTCACATGAATATGTTGTACAAAATTTTACCGTTGTTAATTTTTCGTGACTCCCACATTGAGTTAAGCAATCCTATTTGTGGTCGTGACTCACAATTCAAGAAACCTGGTCTAGATATTTAAGAGTAAGTCCGTAAATTTCAGTGTTTTCAAGACTGAAACATAATAGGTTATCTTGTACTTAAGTTAACATTAAGCTTAAATATTCAGAGAATTCTATTTCAATGATCTCAAAATAATCCCATTCATATGATAATAAACAAATGTGCTTTATCATCAAAATAAAACTTTTTTTGAGCATTGAGTTTAAAAGATTTTGAATACATACTTAAAAAAACCTAGAAGATAATTGACATATTTAAACTTCTAAAATGTTATTTAGTTATTAATTTTAAATACATATATAAACAGAAGAAAAGAAAAATTGCATAAGGTGGAACAAAAATCAGTTAACTGTAATGATTATTTAGAAATGATTAGCACTGGTTTGAAACAGTTGCATGCTATTATTTGTGACTCATTTAGTTTTGACGAATGACTAAATCAAACACAGCATTCTGTGGTTTCTAAACCTGTTTTAACTGACCTTAAAATAATCTTAATACATTGTTGCAAAATACCTTTCTCGCTTTTTCTACCAAATTTTTAATTAAATTAAACAAACTAATGTTTTCAGCTATCTTAAATAGACATATATTTATAAAATAGCAGCGTACAGAGCAGGCCACTGCATCAAAGAGCTTTTACTCATTGCTCTAATGTCAAGGACACAACTACAAGAAATACAATGCATTAAACACATTGCCATAGCTCACGATTATAGCAGGAAGTTAACAGAAAGACTAGCTAACAAGATGCAGGGTAACATAGAAAAGGAAGTGGTAAATACAAGATCTCTAAAACAACAAAGAAAATGCATAGTGGTTGACTTTGACCTTTGATTGAGCCAAACTTATAAAATCATAGCCAAGAAGGTCAAAACAGATTTAGCATACAAACATCAATATATAAACTTCTTACCAATGCCAACGATAAATGCAACATATCCAGAACACTCAATACTCCTATGGGGTACACTCAATACTCCTAGAAAACGATAGGTTTAATATCAACAGGAAGTTAACATACATAGAGTCAACAAATAGATCATTAACAAAAAGGATAGCAGAGCATAAGGACAATACTTATTTACTAAAAAAATCATATACTTATAATTCGATTTGATGTTTATTTGATATTTATTTTTACTTTTCACTAGGTTTGTTAAATTTAAAGTATACAGTAATTGTAATTTTGTTTCATGTTTATTTCTGTATTTATTTATTTTGTTTTATTTCAAGTTTTTGTAAAAACCATGATGTCATAAGAATACGAGCGAAGCTTGAAGTTTCAAATCTTATGCTCTAACTGACGTTCCAAATTATGCTTAATTAAAAATTTGCTAGAAAAAGAGAGAAAGGTGTTTTGCAATAATATATAGAAGTTCTAATGTGATTATATGTACGAAATGAGTTAAAAAGATACGTTATAAGATTAATATCTTTATTTCGCATACAATAAATTGATTCTTTGGAATGCCAGCTCCTCTCAGTCCCAATACACAAGTATATAACCTGAGCCATACAAATCTTGATATAACAGCTCATTATTTACTCTATTATCGTGACACTACAAATTACTGAATATGATATATTTACAACAAATATACAACAAACTACAACTAGGTGCTTACAACTAACTAAATCTAAGTAAGAAGGAAGTATATAGACTGGAACAGGAATTAGAGTAAGGAGAGAAGAAAGTGGGTACCCAGTTTTCAATGGTAATCTTGGGGTGGTGAATTTCCAGAGCTTTTCTTCGTTGGGTCGATGGATGGTCCTTGTTCTCCTTCAATTTTCTTTAATGATAGTCTTGGTTTTTCAAAGATCCTTCTTGACTGAAGTTTCTAATATTCTTTCTCAGGTCGTCTTCCGTCCCTATATGCTGTCTAAATGCACTAGAGAACACACTTCATTGGTCAGGTTCTATCGAAGTCCCCACCAAGAATAATCCTTGTTCTCCCAACTTAGTCTTTAGGGTGTCATTCCTTTCTTTTGTTCTCAGGATTAGTCATTACCACCCAAGAAGAAAGAGTTAAAGAAAGAACATTCTGGAAAGGATAGACAAAGAAACAAACAAACAAACAAACAAAGAAACAAACAAACAAACAAAATAATTCCAATGAATAGTATATTCAGCCTCAGGCCTAATACCGAATATTCGGCCAAACTATTTGGCTTGATTAATGGTGCGCAAACCGCATTATGGCAAGGATCGCGCACCCTGTTCTGTATTGGCCCATTGTCACTATGCTTTACCAATCGTGTTAATTCTTGACAATTGTAGCAGACAGACCTGAACGTCATGGCAGTATGTGATAAGTGATGATATCAAATGTGGATAACAATGAAATGACCTACACATGTAAATAACAGAAAAAGAACAGAGAAGGACCACGAAGTGAAAATAAATATGAAATTAAGTTGATAACATAATTGAGCAAGACGAGGCAGCTTATTGGCACGAAATTTGTAGCTGTCAATGTCAAATAATTGTTCTCATAGATTTTTGAAAGCTAAATGCTTGTAATGAAAGTCACTTAGCGTCCTTTGATCTTTTACATAAATAAGCAAAAAATTGCACTTTCTTGAACTTGAAATGTATGTTCAGTTAATAAATCATTAATAAAAGTTATCAAAGTGATTAACTTACTGTGTTTTTGTTATTTCTTACTCCTGTTTTTAGGTATTCAATC